CAAGATAAGAGGATATCCTGGGAACATATGTTAAAATTAGCAGAACCAAATGAAGTTGTGTAGGCATGGCTAAAATAAAGCATAAACATATATATGCTTTGCTGATGAAAACCATTTACCATAAAAAAAAGGTAGTGTGATTACTGTAGTACCAACCCGAAAGTAATACTTGATTATCGTTTAGGTTGGAAAGGTTCTAGAACCTTCTTATGTAATTCATATGAGAGGGTTTTCTAACTTGCAATGAAATACACCTGACATGTATCATTCCAAACTGGGTTAACATTTAGAAGGGCCTTTTACCTAACGCTGTTGACTATGGTAAGTAACTTCAGCTTCTCACTATTAATATGCAGCACTTCTCATGTTAGTGATTCCCACATTCATTTCTCTACCTGGGATGCCTGACCTGAGAGCATTTGAGTATTCTAATTGCCCACTGTGGGTTTTCACTTTGGTGACCCCATGGATACTTCAAATTCAAAACATTAGTCTCCCCGTTGAATCTTCTCCCGCTTTCTCCTAGCTCCATGTTCCTCATCTTAGGTGAAGGTGGTGGACGCACCAGCATCTCCCAGTTGCCCTCATATGGTTTACACATGAATTCCTTCCTCAGGGGCCACCGCACATTCCTCTGACTTCCTGTGGTGCATCCCAGCTCTTTTAGCTCAGCATCTACCCCATACCATTGCCAGAGTGATCATCCTAAAAGTACACATCGATTCACATCACTCCCTATTTTAAAGCTTGAAATGTCTTTCCAGTGTCAAATCCAAAATTCTCAGATGGGCATCACCATTCCTTCTGAGGAGTCTGGCTTCAGGCTAAAATCCTGTGTGTGGTCTTTCAGACCCAACCATGGGTAGTTTCAAGCCTTTGCCTGGCAGGCAGCATGGGGGAAGCTGCCCTTCCCACAACCAGCCCACTGTGGTTTTCCCGAGGGAGTATCAGGCAAGGACTCAGGAGCAGGCACCTCCATTTGGAGGCCTCCTTACTGGGCCCTCAGTTGAGACCTTTCTCCACCCTGACTCAGTAGCTTTCTGCTGTTAGCCCTTCCCTCTTCCTTAGCCTCGGCCTCCCAAGTCCATAAAAAGGCAAGAGCCTTTTGGTCAGAGCTCCTCAGCCCTGAGAAGCTTCCCTCTTCTCTGTGCTGCGTGTCACTCTCTGACCCATGGACTGCTATCTCCCAGAGAGTAGACATTTATTTGGCTTAGTATTTCCAGTAATTGGCACAATAAAGGCTCTTGAAAAATGTTGACTTGGTAAACCATGAGCATGGTAATATTTTGTTTGTACATACAACATAATCATTGAAGAGATTTATACACTTGGCTAATCTACTTGTATATAGCTAGACTTTGGCAATATTAAACTTTCTCAGTGCATGTGTAAACTTTGGATTTCTGCACCTGACTGACTGAGAAACAGGATGGGTAATTAGATGTATTGACAGTATCTTGAGGCTTTATCTTTCCAACTCTGAGATACTTGGGCAATGATAAAATTTGAATCTGGACCAGACATTGCCACCAATGCTCATCTGAAAATTCTTAAGAAAAATCATGAAACATAGAGTCTGATGTCAATAATATTTAAATGTATAAAATGTTTTAAAATTAAGTAGAAATTATAAAAATCATCTATATGCTACTCCCTATGAATTGTACAGTGTAAGAAGAAATACCATCTGCAAAAGTCAAGCATCAACTACATGAAAACCAATGTTTATTCTGTGAGTTAATTTCAAAATTATACCATGTAAGTGACTAATATTCTCTATTGGATACAGTTCAAAATGTGCCCAATAATGGATTTCTTCCCAGACTGCTTATAAATTTAAGCATGAGAAAGCTGAATTTCATTTGGCAAGGAGAAATAAATGTGTATTTAGCTTTCTACTACTAAGAGGCATCCGTTTACTAGTATTGGCAAATATTTTACAATTAATTTCTAAACAAACAAATTTTCAAGATTAAATTATAATTGAAAAGTTTTGATGGTATCTATTGTGAGCCAAAATTTGGAAATGAAAATAATGAAACCCTTGCTTATAAGGAGTAAGTGTATGACAAACTGAAAGTCTCTCTGGTTGAAGAATTGGCTTTGATTTTTCTTCTGTACAGTGAGTAGTACCAGCTTGTAAGTAAATTGGAGAAATAACGACTATCTGTGCCCCAATTACTACTAACCCAGTAGAAGAGGACAGATGTTTGTGGAGCTGGGAGAACTACACACAAGTATACATCAGACTGTTACAATTAAACACCTGTTTTTATGTTATTTGTTCACCATGAATTTTTGGAGCACCTGCTATATGTAAGTTTCCCTATAAAAGGACATTTAAGTAAACTCATGCTGGAGCAAAATCATATATTAATTTTAATGGAATTATGAGTATTCAAATAGAGACATCTTTTACTTTATACAAAAGCAAATTTATACCCGCACTTTAATAAGGAATGCAAACCACAAATAAGTTATGATTTTACTAGAACAGCAAACATTTTTTTAAAAAGGAAAACAATATAAGTTGATCTAGGTCTGTAGTTCTTAGGCATAAATAGGTATCTCAAGTCTTCAGAATGGATGAATTTTTTTTTTTTTTGGTATTCCATCTAAAATTTCCCTTAGTCTGCTTGAAACTCTAGCCTTAAGAATCAAAGAATTCCACAGATTTTTTTACACAAAGTGAGGTGGAATTTAGTCTTTCTTGTATGTCACATATTCCTTAGAATTTGAGAAAGAAACAAAGCCCTGCATACACACTGCTCCCACTTTATTGACGGCTAAGAAACAAATTATTCAGTTCTCTCTTGGCTTTAGAAGTTTCACTTCTTCCTGTATTACAAAAGTGAAATATTATTGAAAAAAGGGTGGATGACATTAACTAGGTAGCAAAATATATGGATTTGTATAAGAAATTGAAAGAACTCCAAAATAATCACTTTTACATTTAATAGCCGTAAGGTAGAGGATTCTTATCTAGAATCCACGTCTAAGATTTCATATCAAAGAGTTCCTGATTCTTGCTGGTTCTAGTACTTTTTTTTTTCAGATATTCTTCAGGGCAAAACTACTCTTAAAACTGGTCCAATGAAAAAAATTCACTAGAAAATTTGAGACTATGTCAAAATCCGTATCAATGTTCTCGCCACAGTAAGTAAACACATTAAAGCTTGAGGAAATAAAATTGATATACAGTTTTTCTTAGATTTTCCCCAATTTTGAGGATAATGTTGGGAACCAGGTTTAGGACATTTACTGAGCATCAGGATGCTTAGGAATGAATCAATACATTTATGCAAGATACTGATAAGGTATGTTGTTCAAATATTTGGGGTATGAGGTCTAGAAGATTAGCTGGCAACTGACTTCTTTGGGCTTCGATACTGCCAGGATGTTTTGATTGTTTTTTCCCTTACAAAAAATATTCAGGTGCCCATGTTTGGCATTCAGATTACTTCAGTGTCAAGACAAGGTCTTACAATGATAAAATAAGACATTAATATGTCATAATGTAGAAACAATCTTGAATTTACATGCTATTTAAAATATCATATTTCCAAAGGGAAATGTCAGGACATTTACTTTTGATTAACAGTCACCAAGAAGAACATTCTGCACATATTTAACAAGGGTAGTAATACCGCATCAAAAATATTTCTTGAATATTGTGAATGAAGGAGCCACAGAAAACTCAGCATGAAAGGTGACATCCTGGAGTTCTGCTCGGCTAGAATCCCATCTCCATTCTCAGCAGCAAGCAGGAGACTCAGAAAATGCTGACTTTAATTACAAACTTTATTTGTCAATACAATTCACAGTTTATACATGGTGCATTCCACCATAGGAACTGTCAGAACAGTTATTGAGGAAATGGGTGTAGCTTTCTTTCTAAAAGAGCCCGACTTTCTAAAATTTTGGTTAGAATTTTTTAAGTTTATAAAAGTACCTTCAACAAGTTAACTGAATATTTACATTTCTAGCTTAAATTTAAATTTGGGAAAATAAGCATCTATTTAAATGTGTGTGTTTTTTTTTAAGATCCTCGGTTTATATTTTAAGACCCTAATCCAAATGCCACTTATTCTGATATTTCCACCACCCTCGCCCCCCGAATAAAAGAAATGTCCTGCAATTGTATTTGGGGAAGTCATCTTCTTTCTGCATTTGAAAAATTATATATACAATGTACAGCAGATCTAAGTATGAAAATAAAAGAGAGTAGCAATCTCTACTAGGTGCCTTTAATGAATTTCTTCTGAATCTTGGAAACCTCCAAAGAGTTACAGGATATAAAATGCAACTAAAAAGGGTTATCAGCCTTTTCTATCTAAAAAAAAAAAAAGCTCTCAAGATTTAAATTGTGCTAAAACAGCTTTTTCTCTAATGTCAAAGATGAATTATGCTTGCAATCTGCATTTTTTTTCCCATGTGCAATATCACAGTGATCCTAGTTTCAACTTCTGCTCTCATGCTCAGTCACAGCTCCAGAGGGACACCCACACAAGGCGAGGCTGTGCCCAGCTCCGACTACAGCATCACCTCCCCTGTCTGGCAAAAGTCACCCAGGCAAAGAAAATCGGGTAAGACTTCCACATCAAAAAAGCAAAGACGTGCTGGCAGCATAATGTTTATTAGCAAATGCTAATATCATGCTATCTTCTTTTCCTCAGAATGGTAATTCACACCAATTTTCTTAAATCACCTCCAATAAGATCCGTGTTTAACCGCTTTCTTCTGTCAGATCATATATATATATTTTTTCTTCTTTTGCTTCCACCTTTCAAAATATGTAGTGATGAATAAATGGTAACTTCCAAATACTGCCAGGAAAAAAAAAAAAGGGACTGTTTGGAGCAGCCCATTTTACAGGGCTGGAAATAATTATACTGTGTATATGTACCACTGGTACCTGAGTCAAATAAATACTCAGAGGGGCCATCTGTGCACCTCATTTCTTTGCAGTGCCTTTAACGCTAGAATTTCTGAGAGTTGCTTCAATGTCCATCTAATTTGGCATCTATTCCTTCTTTGGGCATCATCACTTCAGTTTACACACTGTTCCCAGCAAGGTATGGTATTCAAACGGGAGTTGTGGGATTAAGGGCTGCAGAGGTGAGCCTAGGGGTGGAGGGGGGGAAGGAGAAACCACACATTAGCTAGAGAGGTTCTGTTTCTTCAGAAGATAAGGCACTGACAGAAAATTTCTTAGGTAAAAGGCTGCATATGAATCTCTTGCCATTTACAAAAAGAAACGTGGTCATCCATAAATGGTCCATATCTAGGCTCAGTTAGGTAGACCCTGAAAAGTTAAGGACTGATCCCTCGAAGCTACATGATTACCAGAAACAATTATAATTCATTCTGAGGCCTTATGGCACGTTACGAAAAGAGGGAGGAAAACAGTCTGGGCACAAAAGGCATCAGACATTGCTTGTTTTATTCCACTTGTCAAAGAAAGTGGACCGCTCAACAAGCATCATCAAAAAGATAGTGCTGGCTCAGAATTCCAAATTCTCTTGATGGTAGATGGCCATGATGGGTGTATCTATTTTTTCCCCCTTTGGAGCTCATGCACAATTTAAAAAATGCTACCAGCAACAGTCATAAAGAGCATATAGAAGTCCTCACCTATGGCTACGCCTAAGGTTCTTCAAAGAGAGGGTTATTTAATGTTCTCGATAACCGCAATTTCCTCTCCTGCACAGTGTGGCGTCAATCCATTCAAATAGATACTCTCAGTTTTCAGTAAGGGAGGCAAGACATCCCTCTCGCTGGCTAGGTGATTCACGGACAGGGTCCTCCTACAAGGAGTCAGCTCTTGGTTGTGGTTCCCGGCAAGCTCCGCGGACAACTTCCGCTTGATGGAGGTGGCGCGTTGAAACTTGTCGTAGATCTCCACACTCAGGCGCCTCCTGGTCTCCTTGAACTCGGCCGTGACGTTGGCCGTCCACTCAGCGGCATGGGCTCTGAACTCTCCCACCTGGAGCATCACGCAGAGAAAACACAGAGAGACACCCACATGACAGTCAGCATTTTGTGTGCTTTATCTTCGGATTTGTTTTATTGTGTTTTTTTCAAATAAGAAGATGGTAGTAGCCCTTTGTGATACAGGAGGTCTGAGAATTGGTGTAATTAGGCACGTTGTGCAGGGCGACACTCCACCTTCTAGAGACAGAGCTCTAAAAATTAATTTGGGAACTTAAAACTCTCTGACCCGGATTGTATTAGAGGTACTAGATGTGCTTGTTTTTTTGTACACCGATCCTGCCATGGAAACTTCTGCAGCTGTAAAATGGCAATCTCTAACTTTTTAAAATGTTCTGAGTTATTTTTTCATCTGTAATTTCAAGAAGTATTTGTAGAAAAGGCAGTGAGACACAGTAGGAGCAGCAAGCCTAAGTCAAAGCCTGGCATGTGAACCCAGGTGACCTAGTTGGTTCTGGAAGCCACGCTGTGTGCTGGGGATGCAAACACAGGTTTGAGAGAGCAGAAGTGGTGTGGGCAAGAGCTCTGTATCCAACCCCACATTGGTCAGTGGGGAATTCTCTGTTTACTAAATAAGCAGTAAAATATTTTGTTTCTGCTTTCAGGGAAAGCAAAGGAATGAGAACTGGGAAGCCTACTTGGAGAGTAAGTCCAAGGACTAGTTTCTCAATGAATGTTTGTGGAATCGGTGAAGTTACTCACTTCCTCGGGCGTAGAACAGGCGTCTTATGGCACACAGGTCTTCTCCCTACACTAACAGTACTTTTTGCCACCTCCATTTTGATTATCATTAATATCTTTACAAAAATGGTCTTCTATTAACCATGGTTTTGCAAATGGCTTTTCCCCTCTCTTAGCCAATTTTAGTCATTTCTCCCTATTAGTATCCATTATTCTACCTCCTAGTCTATATCAGCTGATAAAAACAGGGGATGTGGGATGAGAGCCTCCGGTTCAGCTCTATTACTCACAGTTTGTGTGCCCACTGGTGAGCAGTTTTACCTTTTTTGAGCTTTAGATTCCTTATCTATAAAATAAGGGTGATAACAGTCTATCTCGCAGGAGAAACGTGTGTGTGTGTATCCTTAAAATATAAAGGACTACACAATGACTAATTATGACAATGAGGCTGGTGATGCTATAGCTTGCCAAGGGTACTTTGAGAGCTTAAAGGAAGAGTACCAGATATAGACTAAGTGATACAGAACTGAAAAAATGGGACATTTCCCCCTGCAATATAATTCACACATTCTAAGCATCCAGTGGCACCATGGTCAGAGGTCTCTTTGCAGCTCTCCCCAGAAAGGCAATGGATTACTTAACCCCTGAGTTATATGGATCTTTAAGTCGTGAGGTGCTTTGGGCATGTTGACGGCGCACATAAAAGATACAGCTGAACAGGGGTGCCTGGGTGACTCAGTCGTCTGCCTTTGGCTCGGGTCATGATCTCAGGGTCCTGGGATCAAGACCTGTGTCAGGCTCCCTGCTCAGCGGGGAGTCTGCCTCTCCCCCGTCCCTCCTCTATACTCCGGTGCATGTCTGTGCTCACGCGCACACTCTCTCTCTTTCTCTCTCAAATAAAATCTTTTGTTTGTTTTTTAAGATACAACTGAACAGTCATCCTGGCCAGATACGCTGGGTGATGTATTTCATCAGTCAAAGGAAGGCCAAGGCAAGAGAGTGTTTATGTTTACCTTCTACTCATTATTATAGCTGGAATAATATTTTAAAATATGATGCATTCAATGTAAACCTCAAACATTTACTCATATTAGAAAGAATTCTAATTATTAACAAAGGTCTATGTCATTGCATTGTGTAAAATTCTATATGTATATACAGTGCCTACTGTGCTAGGTGTTGCTCTTTTTTAAAAATGTTAACTTATTTAATCAACTCGATGAGGATGATTCTATTATTTCCCCCATTTCACTGAGGCTAGGAAGTTAAAAAACTTAAGACACACAGTAAATATGTGGTGAAGCCAGAATTCAAACTTGGAGGTCTAGTTCCATCCTATTATTCTGCCTTGCCAGTACAATCTTACTAAATTTAAGGACTAAACATCTTTTGGAGGAGCACAAGGAAAATTCACATCGTATGGAAATCCATCCTGTAGCAGGTTATACTAGGGTGAGGACAGACTGCCATAATTTCCTAAAGATACTGGGAGAATGAAAGTTTTTCCAGTATCTGCCCTCGGGCTACTTATCTAAACCAACAGTAGTATCTGCTCCCTCTCTATCGTGCCCTAATCTTTCTACTATTCTTCATGATACTGGATTTAGGGAACATAGCCACTCAAACTCAAAGCTTGAAAATAAGGCAGAAAAACAAGAGAAAAATAAAAGAGAGTCCCTCAAAAATGAAACCAACACCATCAAAATAATTAACTTATTCCCATTCCTTAAAAAAAAATCCTGACCTTATAGAATTGTCCATAGCAATGTATTCATTATTGACCAAATAACAGTGTCCTGAAGTACAGACCCATTTCTGTTAATGAGGCTAAAATTGTATATTCAAACTCTGAAGGTGCTTTTTTTGTTTTCAATGAAATTAGAGCATCACATTTATATAAGTCAAACTTTCCTTGATTGAAATGTTAATGCTTGTGGTACTCTGGATAATTACAGCTAATCCTTATGCACTAAAACATTTTTGTTTCATCGGATTTTTATTAAAAAAAATCTTTCAATAACTTAATCAAATAGTATCTCATCTCCCTAAAACTAAGCAATCTACACCACTTAGTAACAAAGCAGAGGACCAAAAATGAGCAAAAATAGCACCTAAAAGATCATAGCTAATGTTTCTAAAACTCATACACTTGACCCCCCGATTCCAGGAATTCTTAACTTTTACACAGTGCGCCCAGGTCATGTGATTTGCTTTACAAGAAGACTATGGCGTGCTACAGTCACTTGCCCTCTAACCTGGAAGGGAACTGTTCTCATCCTTGTCACTAAATCCAGTGGACCATTCTCTGTCCCTGTTTTGCCCGATCTTCACAGCTGCAAAGAGTTTTGCTGACTCCTCCCTCCCTTCCAATCAATCTTTGGTCCTAGTTACCAAATCAGCACCCTCTCAAGGTCCTGCTTTATCATTCAGGTTGATTCTTCTCAGTCAGCTTGGGGGCTGCTTTCTCTTAGTCTTTCCTTGACTAGCTCTGCTCCACAGGGTTCTCTGCTTCTCATATCCTTCCAATGGATGACTCCCAAATCCATATTTCTAGGTCTAATCTCCCTACCGAATTCTGTATCTGTATAACTGACTGCTTGGTAAACACCTTCACTTTAGATGATGTGCAGGCATCTCAAACTCAGCCTCTCTCCAAATGAAATCATTTAACTCCTCAAACCTGTTCTTACCTAATTTCTTATTACAGTGAACGGCACCATTAACCACTACGTTTCCCAAGCTGAACTTCAGTATCATCCTCTGTTCTTCCTCTCAATCTTACATCACATCAGCCCTGAGCCTTGCTGATTTACACCACCTTTTCTCTCAGTTCCTTTCACCTCTCTCCATTCCTGTTGTCAAAACTGTGGTCCTGTCCTGAAATAGTACCTCAGCAGCCTCCCTCCACCTCCCTCCACATGCATTATCCATGCAACAGTCTGAGTGTCCTTTCATAAACTCTTATTGATCAGGTACTTTACCTTGTGTAAAACCATTCAATTGATTCCCGTTTCCCTTAGGATCAAATCCAAACTCTTAAAGTTGGATTTAGTGGCTCATATGGTCTAGGGCCTACCTCTTTAGCCTCACTTCTAAGTCTACTCTGGGGGGCCATCCCGAACATTTATTTCCTCAAACATGCCACTCGTTCTTTTGCCTTTATTCATTCATTGCTCATGATTTTCTCTGTTCAGAATACTGTTTCCCAGTCCTTCTCTAGTGCCCCCTGCATTTCCTACCCAACCTGAACTAGATCTCTTCAGGTCTACCATTCCCTGCCAACCCCCACCCCCCCGACTACGTCAGGATCATTCCAGCACTGTACTTCTCTAGCGTTACTGACGTATATTACAGCTACTAGTTTAATTGCTGTCCTGGCTTCATGGCAATAGAGAGGGATAAGTCTGCCATATCTTGTTCAGCTTTCCCAGAACTTAGAAGAGTGCACATAGCTGGAATTCAGTATTTGTTGGACAAATGAATGGTAGAGAAAAATCAATCATGTTTGGGAAACATGCTCCAGTAAGAAGGATGTGCCTCTTGGTTGACTCTAATGGGAGAATCCGGTTCCTTTCAGGAGAGAGATGCAGCCGGATCTATTCATAGTAAAGGTTCAAAGTATGTTTCCTCAGACTTTTTAGTCTTTCTAAAATCTCACCATTCTAAGAAGTCTGTGATGCTACCAATGTCTCATCTTCAACGTGAAGAAAATCATTTAAATTCCTTTCTCCCCACTAGCCCCCTAACCTCTGTCATCATTCTCACCACTCTGCATGACAATACCTGACTAGGCCACCCCACCACTCTTGTGGAATGTAACCTTTAAAGTTAAAGAATGCTTTTACATTAGAGAATCACCAACATCTTTGTCAGCAACTATGAATACCTTTTAAGCATCTATAGCCTTCTAAGGTAGCAAAATCTCATGATTATAGTGGTATTTGCCTCCTCAGTAGTGGTTCCAAGCCCTACAGTTCACGTCCTCCAAAGCATCTCAAATAATACAAAGAAGGCCCTTGTAATGGTAGCAACATAATTTTTTTTTAAATTTTATTTTATTTTATTTTTATTTATTTATTCATGAGAGACAGAGGGAGAGAGAGAGGGGGAGAGACAGAGAAGCAGAGGGAGAGGCAGGCTCCCAAGGGGCAGGGAGCCCGATGCGGGACTCGATCCCAGGACCCTGGGATCATGACCTGAGCCGAAGGCAGACGCTTAACCATCTGAGCCACCCAGGCGCCCGGTAGCAACATAATTTAAAATCAAGCACTTGCCATATATTTCAATGCTTTTAGAGCAATTTTCCTAAATCAC